TTCTTTCTTTCTTTCTTTCTTTCTTTCTTTCTTTCTTTCTTTCTTTCTTTCTCTCTCTCTCTCTCTCTCTCTCTCTCTCCCTCTTTTCTTTCTTTCTTTTTCTTTTACCCAGCTGACATTGCCAACATTTCCTGTTGTTGTGAAAATTGGACATGCTCATTCAGGCATGGGAAAGGTGATCATGCTTTATTTATATAGCTTGGAAAAAGATAACATTTTCTAGAAGATGGTTATGCAAATATTGCTTAATTCAAACTCTCTAACAAAATAGATTAAAACTTATTATGATTTTTTGTGATATGGTGTCTGTCACATAGTATTTGCTTAATTTTAGGTATATGCTGTATGTTAGTCTCTTGAGCACAAGTTTAAAAACTCATAAAACTCAAATAATAAGCTAAAAGATATTTTAAAGAGTAAAAATTATTTGAAGACAATGCTTTGTTTCAAAAGTAAAAAGATTTCATAAATTGTATATTAGTTCTACAATTTGCCAGGTCCCAGCCCATTGATTTTACTTTGGGGCAAATTTATCAAAATTGTTTTTCAGGGTAATTTTATTTATGGAATATCGTGAACTCTCCTACATATGACAGGATATACAGGAATGTCTTCATTTTACTCAGAATATTTAATCTGTCTAAAAAATTATATGTAAAAGACTTTTCCAACCTGCTGCTCTCGAGATGGGTTGCATTGTGTTATAGCCTCAATCAATTCCTGTCTGTGGATGATTGACAAATGTGGAAGTTGGAGGAAACTGATGCAGACAGATAATTAACTATCCTAACTGTTAAGCATCAACTGTTATTGATAGTTAAGAATGGCTAGTAATGTATTTCTCTTAAAAATCTATTTTGCTTGGAAACACTGTGTCCATTTTTTTGAGAAATTTAATTCTTGCTTATTCTTTTCTTTTTCTTTCTATATGCGAAATGCCTCTGAATGTTGAAAACAGGTCAAAGTAGACAACCATTATGATTTTCAGGATATAGCCAGTGTGGTAGCCCTTACCCAGACCTATGCTACCACTGAACCCTACATAGACTCCAAATATGACATCAGGATCCAAAAGATTGGAAACAACTATAAAGCCTACATGTGAGCAAATAGATTCTGGGATTGTATCATATTGTTGTTCTTCCATCTTGAGATTGAATTAACATTATTTACTATGTTTTGGGAAAGGTAGGTAATCTGTTTTCTTTAGCAGTACTGACAATCATCAATTCTAATAATAGATCTAAATATGAACTGAATCTTTCCCTTTTCAAACAAATATATTAAAATAGAGTGGAAACAAGAGGCATTCTGGACTAACATGAAAAATTATTTAATATTATTTCCAGTATTTTATTTATGTATTTCATATTTTTCAAATTTATGTTGTAGTTAATTTTAAAAAATCCAAATGAATTTCAGTAGTATTCAGCTACTGGTAATAACATGCCATAAAGCAGTGGTCGCCAACCAGTGGGCTGGGGACCACTGGTTGTTTGCAAGAAAATTTTGGTGGTCGCAGAGAAATGTCACCCCCAAAGCACCCCCCAATGCAATTAATCCAAGCTGCATGGGAACACAAGACTGCGCCACCCACATGGCCTGTGGGAACACAAGGCTTGCATCACTTGCATTGTGAACAACACAAGTTAGTGAGGGGAGGGGGAAAGGGCGGAGGGGGGGAACTTGCCCCACACACCCCACGCATCTGGCCTAGCCACCGGGCTGCTTTTTTCCGCTTCTTTCTTCTTCTGCTTTTGGCTGCATGCATGGAAAACAGCAAAAGTCTTTCTTTCTCTCCCCCAAACTCCACCAGAAATGAGTCTTTGGGACCCTGCAAGGTATCCTGCTCCAAGAGGCTGCACCAGCAAAGGCTAATTTCTGGCGGAGTTTAGGGGAGAGAAAGAAAGATTTCTGCTGCTTCTTTTGCTTTCCTTGTATGAACTCAAAAGTCTCAGTCTCTCTCTCTCTCTCTCTCTCTCTCTCTCTCTCTTGTGATTTTAGCACAAACACAGACCGATTAATTTAAGAGGTGGCAGAGAAATATAAGCTGCCTTGACAGCTTCCATGCTGTTTTCAAAATCTCTAGTACTGCAATCTTCTGTTGTTTATAGGATAATTAATTAATGTGTCCAGTTAACTAAATTACAAGTGGTTGGAAATTCCCAATTTCAAAGCTCTTGTAATATTTAAAGATTTATACATGTGGGCATTGCATTATTAGTATATTTCAAGGAAGTGACACAGTGTAAAAAGTTAACACCACAAAAGCACATATATAGAATAGAATAGAATAGAATAGAATAGAATAGAATAGAATAGAATGAATAGAATAGAATAGAATAGAATAGAATAGAATAGAATTCTTTATTGGCCAAGTGTGATTGGACACACAAGGAATTTGTCTTTAGTACATATGTGTACATAAAGAAAAAATAAAATAAACATATAGGAAACTATCTACTTGTCTGAAATATAATTTTTCCATAAAAATACAGTACAGAAGCACAAAGGTTTTACTTATAATACTGGTTAAAGATTCAGATCTCATGGTGTATTGATTAATATATATTTTATGAAATTATATAATTATTGACACAGTGACAATTAAGAAAATTGTAAAGAGAATATTTAAGAGAAAATATGCCATCTGTCATATCCAGATATCTATTTAAGTTGAGCAGGAATGCTATCTCTTTTAACATGGCTTCCCTGAACATAAATTCTTAAGCTGATCCTCTGTGTTGTTGAAACAACTGAAAGTTTATTCAATGCAGAAAGCTATTTTCTCAGTTTTACGGGTCAGAGAATCCAAAGCATGGGCTGTCTCCTGCTTCCTTGCTTAAAGACAGAGTCAATCAAAGTTTAGTCCAGCCCCCTTTCCACTGTGCATGCCCAGTTTCTGACTCCGTCTTCATGCAAAGAGGTCACGAGGAGAGAGTGCTCAGAAAGAAAGATAGAAAATATAGGATCAACGCTTTGGATTCTTTGAGAAAAAAAGAGAGACAAGAGAAAGAGTGAAAGTCAGCAAACCATGAGTAAGTGAAAGAGCTGGGACTTCATCCCAAGACGGGAAAGCCCACATAGCTGTTTGGTGTTAAGAGAATAAGCGGCAGCAGCCTCAGTAAGAGGAGGCGGGCTCTTGATCGGCTAGCAAATAAGGAGGGCAAATTAACTCAACTTTCCCAGAGCCTTCGTTAAACAAACCAGAAGCCGCAGAAGCCTCCAGCACTCTCTTTAATTGGGGGCAAACTCAGTCTTAGGCTGAGCAAGCTTCCAACACAGTCACACAAGCCTACCCAGGAGAAAGGGAGGCTAGAGTCCATGCTCAAGCTGGTCTGAGTGTACTCTATCGGCAAAAGCCAAAGGGAAAGACTATGGCTGAATTTTCTGAAACAGAGGCAAGTCTAGAGGAACAGGAATCCCTTACCCCCAGTTTGAGTAAAGAGCAAAGCAGAAAGGAACCCAAAGAGGCTGGGAGAGCTTCAGAAAGGCCTCTCAGTGGGGTGTCCAAGGCAGATGAGAGGGAGGCATTAAGTAGACAAAGGGCCATTCAGAAATGCTTCCCAAGGGTGGAAAAGAAGGCGGAGAAGAATGGAAATCCCCATTCTCCAATAGGCAAACCAATGAAAACGAAGTATCAGGAAAGGAGCACAACACTAGAGGGTGCTGAAGATCAGCTTTTTCAGCCTGTTCTTTGTGTGAACGAAGGATTGAGTGAATCGGAAAGACAATGCTCTCAGGCATGCAATGAAGGGCCCTCCCCCAAAAGAAAGAGATTTTCAACAGAGTCTAGCTCTTCCTCCACAGCATCAGAAGTCAGGGAACAGTCTTTTAAAGAGGAAATGAGGGCTATGATGAAAGAAATGATGGCAGAATTCAGGGACTGTCAGGGTAACAGACCTAGCCTGATACATAATGAAAGGAGACAGGATGCTCATCATCATTCTACTTGAGCAGGAGGAGTAAGGGAGGAACTGGGCTTCCAGGGAGACAGTTCCAGTAGATCAGACACTCACAGTGAGGCCTCTGTTTCAAGATAGGAAGAATATGGGAGTCAGCTTTCTCAGATGAGGAAATTAATGAACCAGAAACTCCAATGTTCACAGGTCTATTTCATCACCAACTGTTTAAGATGCTGCTGAGGAAGGCAAAGATAGCAACAGGCCTGGGGAGAATCACAGGGACAGAAGGGTCTGAGTTAGAACCATCTGATCCCAAAGATAGATTTTTTGTTAGAACCAAGGTTGAAAGTGAATCCATACCTTCATCTGAATTGTTCAGGGAAGTGGTGGAAGGTCAGTTGGACAGACCAGTTATTTTCCCAATGCCAGGGGGGAATGAGAGGAAATTTTATCATGCGGAACTAGCAGACCTATTCCCATTTCCCACAATAGACAGCCCTGTGGTAGCCTCCACTTCTGCTACAGTGTTGGCTAACGAATCTGAGGATTGTCTAAAAGGGGAGGATAAGAAAACCGAACAGACCCTACAAAAAGTTCACCAGGCCATGGCATGGGCAGTAAAGGCAACATCCATGGCATCATTTGTTAGCAAAGCAGTCCTAATATAGATTGAACAGATGCAGAAAAGGATGCCACCTGGCAATCTTCGATTGCAACAGGATTTCAACAAAATAACTGCTGCAACAGAGTTCATAGCAGACACCACACTTAATGGGGTCAAGTACGCAACTAAGGCCATTACAGCTTCAGTGGTTGCAAGGTGACTTGTTTGGCTCTGCCACTGGCAGGCAGATCTGAAACATAAATGGAAACTGGCATCAGCTCCAGTTAAAGGGGACAAACTTTTCGGCGAGACCATTGAGCCATTACTGATTGAAACCAAGGACAAGAGGAAGGTCTTACCCAGGAAACTTGGTCAGGCAGATAGGTAACCTTCTCCATATACACGGCAACAGCCCTTTCCTATCTCGGGGGGTGGCTTCAGCCACTCCCCATACATACAGAGACAGTACACACAGACCCCTACTAGACATCCAGATAGGTCAGGATTTAGAGATAGGAGTGGACAACGGTCCCAGGGAAGGCGCCCCTTCCAGAGTTCGACTGGCAGGGCCTTCCGGCATACAAAGTGACGGCCGGAACAAGGCGCCCATCGGCAGGAGGCCGCTCCTATTCACCAACCGATGGGCATTGACTACAACAGACAAGTGGGTCCTAGACACATTTTAAAAAGGCCTAGTTCTGGAATTCAATTCCATACCCATGAGCTCATTCAGAAGATGCCCGACGCCAAGGGACGGAACCAAAAGGGTAATTATGGAAACAGCAGTTCAACATCTGCTGGACATTCGGGCGGTACAACTGGTATCAGAGAACGAACAGGGACAAGGGTTCTATTCAAACCTGTTTGTTGTGCAGAAGGCATTGGGAAAGTGGAGACCAATTTTGGATTTCAAATTACTAAACAGGCACATAGTATACAGGAGATTCAAGATGCAGTCCCTGCAAGCTATACTAGGGAGCATACGGGAGGGGGATGTCCTGACATCAATAGACCTCACAGATGCTTACCTACACATACCTATTACCAGGAGGCATTGGAAGTTCCTGCGGTTTTGTTACACAAGGAGACACAACCAGTACAGGGATCTACCATTCGGTCTGTCCTCAGCGCTGAGGACTTTCACCAAGGTCCTGGCAGCAGTAGCAGCCTTCCTCAGGACAAAGGCCATATGGGTCCAATGCTACTTAGACGACATATTAACACAGTCAACGTCAACTCTAAGAACACAGAGCGATCTAGAAACCACGATACAGACATTACAAAGAGCATGGCTTTTCAGTGAATTTTGAAAAGAGCCATTTAGAACTGACCAGGCAATTACAACACTTAGGAGCTGTAATAGATACCAACTCCTGCGAGGTTTACCTGTCACAGGAAAGGCAGGACACATAAGGTCATCAATAAATCAAGTGGGCACAGCTCTGGGGGTGTCCCTGGACTTGCTGTCACAAATACTAGGGAAGATGATATCATGCATCTTGATAGTACCTTGGGCCAGGCTGCACGCAAGGACATTGCAGTGGTTCCTATTACCTTACCAGAGAACAGGCAAGGCCAATACAGGAACCAAGGTACGAGCACGCCCCCCCCCAAGTGAAGCAGTCACTCTAGTGGTGGAGATCACCCGCAGTGATGAAGGGATGTGCGTTCAAGGAACCCACCCGACTGACTATGCAAGTTTAGTAGGCTGGGGAGCCCACTGTTAGAGCCAGATTACACAAGGTCAGTGGTCTCAGTCAGACCTCAAGAACAACATCAACTGGTTGGAGTTCAGGGCATCTCACCTGGCTCTAAGGGCCTTCAGGCCAGTGATAGTGGGACAGCATGTGTTGATTCTGACAGACAACATGACCACCAAGGCTCATATCAACAGGCAGGGGGTACTCACTCCCTAGTGCTCATGCAAGAAGCAGAGCGATTGGGCCACTGGGTGGAGGCACACCTTCTATCAATCAGGGCAGAACACATATTGGGAGTGGAAAACATTCAGGCAGATTGGCTCAGCAGCACAATGGTCAACCACTCAGAGTGGGGCCTACACACGGATCTGTTCAGGGAACTGTCGCACAGATTCGGGAGAGCAGTCCTGGACCTGTTTGCGATGCCAGCAAATGCACAACTCCCAAGGTTCTACTCGAGATTCCCAACACAGGGAGCAGAAGGAACCAATGCGCTCCGAGAAGCATGGCCAAGGGTTTTGCTCTACGCATTTCCCCCACTCCCCTTGATACCAAGGGTAATCAAGAAAGTGATAGAAGAGGGGGCGTAGGTCTTAATGGTAGCGCCTCACTGGCCCAGGAGGTCTTGGTTTGCGGATCTGGTAGATCTGTCGGTATCCAGACCATGGAGAATTCCCCCAGACAAGGTAGAACTGAGTCAGGGAGCCATACAACACCCAGAGCAACAATGGCTGCAACTAACCGTATGGCACTTGAGAGGACCACACTAAAGAGGACCACTCTAAAGCATTTAGAGTGCTCAGACAAGGTAATACAGACACTCCAGGCATCCAGGAGACCATCAACCAACAGAATTTATGATGCTACTTGGAGAACATTTGGAACCTGGTGTTCCAAGAAACAAATAGATCCAACCACAGTGTTAGTTATGCAAGTGCTGGATTTTCTCCAGGAAGGCCTAGAGAAGGGCTTAACCCCTAACACCATAAGGAGGCAGGTAGCGGTGATAGCTTCAGTGTTGGGTTGCGGGACCTCGGAGTCCCTCTCACGACACCCCCTAATCTGCACATTTATCAGGGGAGCAACCAATCTAAAGCCACCAGTGATACACAGGTACCCTACTTGGGACTTGACAAGGGTGCTAAGGGCACTCATGACTGAGCCCTTTGAACCACTGAGGTCAGTAGGACTACCTTCACTCACCCTTAAGGTGGCCTTCCTAATAGCCATTACATCAGCCAGAAGAATTTCAGGGGTGGCAGCATTATCCGTGAGGGAGTACCTCTGTATAGTTCACCTGAATAGGGTAGTATTAAGATTAGACCCGACCTTTATCCCAAAGATCAATTCTATGTTCCATAGCGTACAAGAGTTAGTACTACCAGACTTCTGCCCAGAACCAGTCCATAGCCAAGAAAGGAAGTGGCACTCCTTGGATGTTAGGAGAGCTATACGCATTTATATTAAGAGAACAAGGCCCATTAAAAAAACGGAAGATACTGAATTCTGAATTTAGACTGAATTCGTTGGGACAAAGAGTTTCACCATCTACCATGGATCGAGACATGTATCACAAAAGCTTACGAAAGCCAATCATTGCAATTGCCGGGTAACATAATGGCACATTCAACCAGGAATGCAGCCACATCAGCGGCATGGAACACACAGGCCTTGATTGAAGAGATCTGTAGGGCAGCAACATGGTCATCGCCATCTCCATTCATCAGAAATTATAAACTGGATACATTTGCATCAGTGGAAGCATCCTTTGGAAGAAGAGTGCTACAAAGAGTTCACATAGAGATGGGGGCTCGGAACAAGGAGTTGTCCCACTCTTAGGACAATTAGCTTGGGTACATCCCACGCTTTGGATTCTCCAACCCGTACAATTGAGAAAGAGCATTGGGCTTACCTGAAATGCATCTTCTAGTTGTACGGGAGGAGAATCCAAATCCCACCCTAGATAGTTAGTCCCAAGCCCGGAATGGTCAAGAACAAGCACCAAAGAACTCTCCAAGTCAATCATCAGCCTTCATCAAAAACTGGGCATGTGCAGTGGAAAGGGGGCTGGACTAAACTTTGATTGACTCCATCTTTAAGCAAGGAAGCAGGAGACAGCCCACGCTTTGGATTCTCCTCCTGTACGAGAAGATGTGTTTCAGACAAGCCCAATGCTCTTTTTCAGTATCTTCTTTCTTGATCAAATCAAATTCCATATTTTTGTTTATTCAGGATCTTTTTTTATTTTATATTTCACACTTGTATTGGGAAGCATTTTTTCCTAATAAATGAACAGTTAATAACAAAATTAAATTGAAAAGACATGCATGCTTTTTGAACTTTTCTATTTCTCCACAGGAGAACTTCTATATCTGGAAATTGGAAGACAAACACTGGATCTGCAATGTTAGAACAAATTGCTATGACAGACAGGTAAATAAGTCTTCCTGTAAATTGTTTACTCAAGAGTTTTTGTTTTTATTTTCTCCGTTTTTAGCTTTTTCTTTTTGTAATTTTTAGTTTCTACTGAAATCAGAACCCATGGAAACTGTAGAAATGGTAGGACCACTTCAGAAACATGTACATGCAGAGATTTTCAGGAGCATCTTCAGAACTAACAACTTAAATATGAAGTAGTTGTGGTAGCTTTAGCAATTCAAAAAGGTGTTTTGGGCCACGTGTTCCAAAGCACCTCTTCTGGAGAAGAGAAGTTTCATGGCATAGAATAGATGCTATTTATTTTTTAACGTTGTTATTTAAAAAAAAATTCTCAGCATGCATGCTACAAAATCACTTGGGTTTTTTTTCCACTGAAGCATAAAATTATGCCTAGATTTGCATGACACTGTTATCCTAATGGGGCCAGAGTATCATGTGAACATAAAAACTCAATAAATTCTGTGAAGGAAGAGTAACAATTCTAACCCAAAATAGCATTCAGGCATTTATGAGCCCAAAAATTCTTCCCCAGTTAGCCTTTCAGGCAGATGTCTAGTCCAGGTTAAAGAAATCTCACCTAATAAATTCTCCAAAAAGAAGAGAATGAAAAAAGCAGCAGCTCGTTACATGCCTAGTTATCTCAGAACATATTTCCCAAATATTTGATTGTGTTTATTTGCCAAATAACTCTATGACCAGAAGAGTCAAGCTGTTTGAAGACAGTCCTCTAACAAGCTCTTATGTACAGGCATAAATCCAAAAGGAAAACAACTCTCAGGATAGTGTCACTTTCCCTGATTCATAAATTCTACTCTGGAGACAGATTCAGATGAATTGAGAACCATAAAGCAGTACCAGGTGGGATCAGCAGCCACAAACGTCAGGCTCATATGGGTGGAAATGTAATTTTCTAATTTGTGCTGGAAGTTTCCATTAAACTTCAGCAAACTGATGGTTGGGAACACAGATCTGCACAGATGAGATACATGGGGAGCTCAGTTACTGGTTCCATTCCTACAGGTTTTGTCCCAAACATCTCTTTATCTCCAAACATCTTGTGATTATTCAGCCCACCACCCTGTTCTTTCAATTCCAAGTCTTAACAGGACATCTTGTCTAATTTGGGGTTCACTCCATCTAATCCTCATCCAGTGCAAACTTTCCATATCATAGAAAAATGTAACAAAACCTGGAGCCATGATATTCTGCCTACCTCATCAAACTTCTCAACCTAGGCTTACATGAAAAACTATCTTAAAAAATCTGAAATATCATGTCCAGCCCATTCACACTTTTATCAAGAATCCAGCTGATTGGGAGCTGATTGGGAGATATATGCAAGACCATATGGAAAACTGATTTCTACTGCTGACAAAACGAATCTTTGATAAAATTCTTTCACTAGCTGAAGTTAATCCATTTGATTATCTCCTCACTTGGACTGTTGTTTTTTAGACTACAGTGTAAAATATTAAGTTCCTCCATGAGTCTAGTTTTTCATTTGAGTAACTACTGAAGATATGAGATTGGTTCACCCATCTAATTGTGCTTTAGAACAGTGGTCGCCAACCAGTGGGCTGGACACCACTGGTGGTCCACGAGAAAATTTTGGTGGTCTGCAGAGAAATGTCATCCCCAAAGCACCCCACAAAGCAATTAATCCAGACTGCGTGGGAATACAAGGCGGTGCCACCCACGTGGCCTATGGAACACAAGGCTTGCATTACTTGCACTGCGAACAACACAAGGTAGCAGATGTCTCTTTGACTACATAAGCATACATGAAGATTGTTCCTGATACATGGGCTTCTATAAATTACCTTTGTAGAGACATTTTTTATACGCAAAGCTAAGAAAACACTTGTGTATTGATGATATTAAAAGAAATGTAGTTTAAAAATGAAAAATGTATAATAATAAGAAACATAGCATGATATACATTTTCCCCAGATCTAATTCACTCATATTAAGCTCTCTTGAATATTCTAATGGGAAATCTCAGAACTTTATGATAATGCATTTTGATGCCAAAAATAGATACGTTGTAGCTGCTTCACTGGATCATTTGTATATTATAAATATATGACAACTTAAATATATCATATTCCAAATACTGCTCTATGTTGAACTTTTAAGAATGGGATACAAAAAAAATATTCTGAATCCAATTTAGCTGAATTGCTGTTAAGACCAAATTGTGTTTTTAAGCTAATAGGAACTTGTCTTCAAATTTTAGATACAAGCTCTGGATTGATAGCTGTTCTGAGATGTTTGGTGGCTTGGATATATGTGCTGTCAAAGCAGTCCATGGGAAGGATGGAAAGGATTATATTTTTGAGGTACAATAAGTCTGTTTTTCTCTGTCATTGCTGTTATTTTTTAATTAAGTATTTATATCTTGGATTTTGAGGTCTCCTGATTCCAAAAAGGCGCTGGGCAGCTTGCAATTTTTTAAAAATAATGTAACATTTTAAAAAAGAAAGAATAATGATAATTTGGAGAAAATCACATAAATAACATCCAGGAAATAGTTCACCCTAAACCCAGAGTTGGAAAAAAGCCTGATCTTAAAATATTTCTAAAACATTGAAATGGTAGAATTCACATCTCCCGCTCTCTCCCCTCCCCTCGCTTTCTCTCTCTAGATACAAACATACATACATACACACACACACACACACACACACACACACACACACCTCTTTCTTTGGGAAAATAGGTAGTTTAGAATGCTAAAATTCAGATAGTTCAAGAAAGCTACATATATTCAAGAAAGCTACATATCATGGGAAAGCACAATCATATCATGAGTTGGTTCTAAACATACACTCTTAGGCCAAATATCAAAATATTTCCATATTTTTAAGCAAATTGTCCCTGAGTCCTTTGGGTACAAGATTTATGGGTTATCTTTCCAAACAAAAAATATATATACATTTCATGAAATGGAAAATTGCAAATATAGTTATATATCCTTTAAAGATACAAAATATACTTTCCTGTGCTAAATATTGATATATGCTACTCAGGTCAGTTAAATATCTGCCTCTAGTGGTTTATAGATTAAATGTTGTTTCATTCATAGAAAACACTAATTGTTGAGGATTGTTTAACCAATAAACTAGGATAATGTAACCTTGATAAATCTATCTACTGAGGAAAATAGAGATAAAGTTGATAAAGGTATTCAAAAGCTGTTAGCAGATAAAAGAGATAAATAATATTTTAATCTTTTGGGAAAACAAGGAGCATGGGAAAGAGACCCAAAATTCTAAATTCTGCATGACATAAAAGTCAGGTCAAAAGGACAGCATAGAAATGTGATGAATGGATGGATAGATGAATGGATGGATGGATGGATGGATGGATGGATGGATGGATGGATGAATGTAGAAGGAAATTCTTGCAGACTGTCAAATATGTATTATTATATCCTGCAACAATAAAACTAAATCCTAAAAGTTCTTTCTTAAAATGCTGACACGTGTTTAGCAAAGGCAAAATCCGACTTAATTTGACCAGACTTTTGACTTTGAGCAAATGAAAATATACACTGCTGAAAAAAATAAAGGGAACACTTAAACAACACAATATAACTCCAAGTCAATCACACTTCTGTGAAATCAAACTGTCCACTTAGGTAGCAACACTGATTGACAATTTCACATGCTGTGGTGCAAATGAAATAGACAACAGGTGGAAAGCATAGGCAGTTAGCAAGAAATCCCCAATAGTGGTTCTGCAGGTGGTGACCACAGACCACTTCTCAGTTCCTATGCCTTCTGGCTGATGGTTTGGTCACTTTTGAATGCTGGCGGTGCTTTCACTCTAGTGGTAGCATGAGATGGAGTCTACAACCCACACAAGTGGCTCAGGTAGTTCAGCTCATCCAGGATGGCACATCAACGCGAGCTGTGGCAAGAAGGTTTGCTGTGTCTGTCAGCATAGTGTCCAGAGCATGGAGGCACTACCAGGAGATAGGCCAGTACATCAGGAGACATGGAGGAGGCTATAGGAGGGCAACAACCCAGCATCAGGACTGCTACCTCCACCTTTGTGCAAGGAGGGACAGGAGGAGCACTGCCAGAGCCCTGCAAAATGACTTCCAGCAGGCCACAAATGTGCATGTGGTTGCTCAAATGGCCAGAAACAGACTCCATGAGGGTGGTATGAGAGCCCGATGTCCACAGGTGGGGGTTGGGCTTACAGCCCAACACCATGCAGGACATTTGGCATTTGCCAGAGAACACGAAGATTGGCAAATTCGCCACTGGCGCCCTGTGCTCTTCACAGATGAAAGCAGGTTCATACTGAGCATGTGACAGACGTGACAGGGTCTGGAGATGCTGTGGAGAACATTCTGCTGCCTGCAACATCCTCCAGCATGACCGGTTTGGCAGTGGGTCAGTAATGGTGTGGGGTGGCATTTCTTTAGGGGGCTGCACAGCCCTCCATGTGCTCACCAGAGGTAGCCTGACTGCCATTAGGTACCGAGATGAGATCCTCAGACCCCTTGTGAGACCATATGCTGGTGCGGTTGGCCTTGGGTTCCTCCTAATGCAAGACAATGCTAGACCTCATGTGGCTGGAGTGTGTCAGCAGTTCCTGCAAGACAAAGGCATTGATGCTATGAACTGGCCCACCTGTTCCCCAGACCTGAATCCAATTGAGCACATCTGGGACATCATGTCTTGCTCCATCTACCAATGCCACGTTGCACCACAGACTGTCCAGGAGTTGGGGGATGCTTTAGTCCAGGTGTGGGAAGAGATCCCTCAGGAGCATGCCCAGGCATTGTAGGGAGGTCATACAGGCACGTGGAGGCCACAGACACTACTGAGTCTCATTTTGACTTGTTTGAAGGACTTTACATCAAAGTTGGATCAGCCTGTAGTGTTTTTTTCCACTTTAATTTTGAGTGTAACTCCAAATCCAGACCTCCATGGGTTGCTAAATTTGATTTCCATTGATAATTTTTGTGTGATTTTGTTGTCAGCACATTCAACTATGTAATAAACAAAGTATTTAATAAGAATATTTCATTCATTCAGATCTAGGATGTCTTATTTTTGTGTTCCCTTTATTTTTTTGAGCAGTGTACTTTTTCTAACTGTAAACTTTGTCCTTTCTAGGCAAAGATCACTACCCAAGCCACAGATCTGGGTTTCCTGACAAAATGCATAGAAATTACCAAAAAAAAATTTATCTTTTTTTCTCTTTTGAGGTCTAAAAGGAAAAGCCCTTCCGAAAAAAGATTGTAAAAGTATGCATATGAAATAATATCCTCAGTGTGTAAAATATAAATTGCAAACCTGAAAACATTGTTATCCAATAAATTTTATAACAATTTATTTTATAATGTATAATTTTCTGAAAAGGCAATATTGAATGCTTTCTTAATGGTAATGGTAAACAGTCATCATATGTAATATTGTGGAATTGGCTTTTAAAATAAAAGCTTCTTAGCAAAACTTGGAAAGTACCCATTTATTACTACTTGTTAAAAAAGATTTTAGATGAGAGTAACAGACAAATCTGTTGGCCTAAATTTATCCCAAGTAAATTGATAGCATCAGAATTATGATTTTACCACAAAGTTCAATCCTGCTTGTCTAGATTTGAAAAATTCTTTCACAGTTATCAAGCATATGGTTAGGAATTATAATTGTTATTATTTATTTAGGTTTCTAAACTTAAAAAATATTGTTCAAGAGCTTTGTTGGCTTTTGTCAGTTCTGATTAGGAGGGGGAAAAAGTAAAACTAAATAAATAAATAAACTGCTTTTTTGTTTAAAACAATGTAGTATATGTATAGTTTACTACACTAATACAGTTACATTACAATATTACATAATACGGTTTTTATCAACCAATGTATCCCATTAACAAAACATGTGGCTTTTTCCTTTGTTAATGTGTTTTTTGGGGGGGGGGTGTTTAAAAAAATGAAATGTGGTTCATGTCATTCAGCTTTGTGGGGACGCAACTGTTTTATCTTCAATCTGTTTTTCATTTGTGGTAGAGGCAACAAAGTACATAGTAGATTTCTGATCTGCTGGTTAGCCTGATAGTTCACTACTTTCTAGTTCTATCATTCAGGTATGATTAATCACTCAATTGGTGAATATTGTATATGTCTTTCACAAGCATTTGTTTATTAAATAAAAAAAATGTTTTAAGGTATTATTCATCCTGGAAATACTAGAATCATTTCAGAGGGCAAATATAATAAAACAGATCATTGTCAAATATCTTTGAGCAAATAAAGCCATTTCATACTTGATTGAAAAAAGACACCTTTTCTATATATCCAGCATGAAACTGGTTCTACAGTAAATAGAAATAATGTTGCAAGAAAATATCTTACATTATTAAAAATACAAACTTGATATTGACAAATAATAATTTTATGGAATGAATGAATAAGGAGCCTGCATGAATAATTGATGCTTTTTAATACAGTTCACTGTGCAGATAAAGCTACTGTGCCAAAATAGTTCAGGCACACTCCTAGAATTAAGCCATGGTATGTTTAGCAAATGTTTTCTAAAAACTGTATTAAAGTTTTAGATATCTATTTTCTAGGCTGGTTTTTACTAAGTGTTTTGCAGGAATGTAAAACTTTGATTTGACCATGCCTGGCATTATGGGCTTTCTTTCTCCAGATTTCCTCAAGCACATAATGGTAACCATTGGTCAATGTATAGAGCTATATTAGTGCATAGCCATTGGTTATATATGTTGGATGCACAGCTAATGCATATTATCTGCATTTCAAAAATGATCTGTTGTTGGAACATTGTAGTATTGGGTCTGCAAACTTTCTGCACATCTTCACGCAGCAATCAAGCCATTGCAATATCTGCACTCCAGTCTAACAAATATATTTTCCAAACTAGAATTGTCCACTTTTAATAAATTCTAGTTCAGGTTTCTTCTCATAAAAAAATAAAACAAAGCATTCCTTTTCAACCTTTCTAATAAGCCTAGGTGCCTAAGCCTTGTTAAGGAGAATTTTTTAAAATCTAAAATGTTTTGCTATCCTTTATTTTTAACTATTTTTTCCATGCAGTTCAAAATAAATGATAATCATAGTGGAGTGGAACACAGCATTAAAAGTTACTACCTTTCTTTAGCTAACTAGTTTTTATCTCTTCTAGGTTATGGGTTCTGCAACACCTTTGATTGGTGAGCACCAGGCTGAAGACAAACAGCTTATAACTGAGCTTGTTGTAAGCAGAATGAACCAACTTTTATCTAAAACACCTATACCATCTCCTCAGAAACCAACTGCTACTCAGCAACCTCAGGTAAGGAATGCTGACTCATGTCTAAGCACAGAAAAAGACATTTTAGTAGGAAATATCAAGAACAATCTGAGCATTTTGATCTGGGATATTATGTGGATAATTCCTTGGATATCCAAATAGAGATCAGTTGAAAGTGAAGCAATAACTTTAAAAGTAAACTTTCAGGATACAGTATGTGTCTGTTGTTCGTTAGTTAACTGGGACAATATAACCTATAATCATCTTTTATTTGCTTCTGCTCATTTTCCTCTCAAGGCCTTGTGACATAAACAGCTCCGTACACCCTATTTTAGGTGACTATATCAGTATGTATGTTTGCGTCTCTATATTTTTCTATTTATTTGAAATAAATATTTACTGGCTATGCTTTTTGTCTTTCTCAGGCCCAAAATAGCTTTAATTGACAAAAATATTATCAAATTGTAATTGAGCATACACTAATAACTCTGTACATTTGTATCTTCAAGTCAGTCTTCAAAAAAGTTAAACATTCCTAGCTGTTGATGGTTTTCATTCATGACACAAAACCTGACCAGAAGATCATAATTGACTATGCTGACTAGTCATTTATTCTGAAGTTCAAAAAGACAGAACTGCTTACCCGTAAGTAATAAACATGTCTATCTTACTGCAGTGAGGAGATGTTAGGTCATGAACATGAATTCAGTTTCTTGGTAGGTGATACTATTTTCCTTAGGGAAAAATACTTAGTAGGTTTTAAGTAACATAAATTCCCTTACTTGAGTAGTGGGCTCATTCATTCATTCATCAAATATACATGGCTGCCCATATAAAACAATTAATATATAAAAACTAACATTTTTTTAAATCACAATTAAAATGTAAGAAAGAGCAGCAGTTGTCAATAGTAATAGAGCTAAGTACCTCACCTGTCCCCTGGGTTCCTGTAGCCTAACAGCATAACCAGATTTTAAAGGACTTTCAGAAAATCGACAGGGATGCAATCAATCTCACTTTGTGGGGGAGGGGTGCTCCATAAAGCTGGTACCACAGCAGAAAAGGCCAAGTCAGATAGATGGATAGATATAATCAGGGAGAAGCAATCCCTCAAATCATATTAGTGTAGCACTGAATGCTAATGATGCAATAATTTTGCTCTTGATATCAGTGGGTCTTAGAAGAGCATTGGGATCACTATTACTAGACCATAGCTATCACAATTATTACGATGTGGAGATATTAACAATTAATGTTACCAACACCAAGATTGTTACCTTGCGTAACAGGCAAAACAATGAATGTGGAAATTCTGAGACACCATTGAGGAGGTAAAAACTTTCTGAATTGTTTTTCAAGCTTCTAGAAGCTGAAATACTCATTTAGATTATGTATCACAAACGATTGGCATCAGAGTAGTTATAGAAAGTACAATCAGACCAGATAATTGGGTAAAAGAAAATATTAAATCACACTATGCTAAAAGCCTTGCTCAAGCTACACATATGCAGCAAGAAGATAAAATTAGCAATCTGAATAATATGAACGTGTAATAGTAATATATAATGCAAATACTTATATGCATATATTCTCTCTCTTATACAGACACAAACACATGTACATTCATAAATAAAACAATAAAACAAAAAAGATCCAAAAGGGATTTTAAATTATAAATATTTTATAGAACATTTGGAACTATCTATGGGTGCAGAATAATGTGTTTAAAATATATAGATAACTGCAAAGACTGGATTTTCAAATTTTAAGATCATGCTCAAATAGATAGTTTTTGGTCTATGTCTATATATGTGTGTGTGTGTGTGTGTGTGTGTGTGTGTTTTCTTAAGTTTTCGCGGGTACTTACATGTAGGGCATTCAGCTTTGTTCGGGTATTTTCCCACGTCATAGTAGTTGTGCTTTTAAAGTTGTAGCAACATTTCAGCAGAACGCTTCTGTACAGAAGCCTGATGATGGCAGATGAGATTCTGCCGAAACGTTGCTACAACTTTAAAAGCACAACTACTATGACGTGGGAAAATACCCGAACAAAGCTGAATGCCATATATATATTATATATATTATATATATATATATATAATATTATTATATTAACATGTTTATGCTCACATACGCTCATTAGGTGATTAGGTGATTTCACAGTATAAATATATTCATTCTGTTTTTGTTGGTCTAAAATATATCAGGTCAGCTTAATTTACCTTCCCCAACCCACACACACTCCTCCCCACTAAGAGTGTAGCACCATCTTCTGGGAAATGCTCATCTCTACTGAAAGCAAGTTAATTCATATTTTTAATGAGATTGAGCAAAGACTTTAAGATAAATTTTAGTAACGCAGCCAAAGTGCAGTTAGAATATATGACTTTAAGTATATCCAAAACATCAATAACTTTGCATTATAAAATTGTTATATGAAGAATTTAGACAACTGTTTGGACAATGTATTTGTTACAAGCCCTGCTAAGCCCTGGCTGCAGGACTTCAGTATCTTCCGCTCAGTCACCACAAAGTCATTTCTGGTAGCTCTGCTGTGAGTTTAGCTGTTCCTCCTCCATCTTTGCTGCTTCCACATTTGTATGCTAGAACTATATGAATCAAGGACTAATGTATCCTTTTAATTTTTGATCATAGAAGGCCCGCAGGCTACCCTAAAGCATTGAAAACACTGAAAAGCATAAAAAACAGATCCAGTTATAACTATAAAAAAAAAAAGAAATTATATAGGGGCTATGAGCATCAGTCACATTTTTTCTTGGCTACCTTTCCGGGTATATCGGGAATGCGCGGACCACTTTTTAAGAGCCCAGTACCTTTTGCATTCATGTGGGAAAATGATACAGAAGGGCAGAATCTTTTTCTTTGTGAGGTTCTCATCCTTATTGAAAACTGCTTGGTTAGAGGAGGTGATAACAGCATTAAAACAATTTTATCAAATTCCCCAACAGAGACAGTATCACTAAAATAAAAGTGAAGATCACAGATGAACCAGATTATGCAGAAACAATTATCCTACAGCAAATACTGTACTGACTATGAGAAAGAAAGAAAATCCAAATTAAATTAATACTTTGTTAAATGAGCTGAATATTTATCAAAAGTTTTAAGGTTTTGAATTTCTAAGGACTCTACTGATAGAATATCCAGAAAGAGAGTAAGCTATTTAAGCCACATATTACTGGAAATACATTGAACTGGTAATACATTCAAAAAGGTATTCTTCCAAAGCTTGCTGGCAGAAGAAAGAAAGGAAGAAGGATAATGCCACAAACTCTTGCTGGATGCAAAATACAGAAAGTTAGGCAGTGTTTATAGCAGGAGTCCCCCAAACTTGCAGCCAAAATGAAAAGACCTTCAAGAAGAGGAAGCATATGTGTAAAATAGAAGTAGGTGCTAATCTGGAATTTGGCAGCAAGTCATAAGCACTGGCAGCTGCCCTAGGAGAATCTCACTACTCAAAAATGGCTGTTAAGTTGGTGTGATCAGTTCCAAAACAAAATGTCAGGTGAGCAGTGAACCATGAGGGCCCCAGAGAAACTTCTGTGGGCACGCTGGTGCCCTTAGGCTTACTGTTGTTGATCCCAGCTTTATACTTACAAAGCTGGAGATTTTTGTATTTGATAAAAAAATTATCAGAAGCCAAAACTCATTGGAAGAATTACACCATCAAAGAATACAAGGAAAAAACTATTGTTGAATTACTTAGCACGTGGCAATTTTCCAACTCAGTGTTTGTTGGTTTCTGTACCAGCAGATGGAGATATTGTTATTTAGTAATATTTCAGTGTTTGTTATTGCTGAACTTGATATAAAAGCACTTTTTCTAGATGTTTAGTTTTTCACTTTTATGTATGAAATTACAGAACAATGGTCATCTCATAATATGCATTTCAACCAATTCACTATTATTTGTGTATGATCTCTGGACACCTGAAAAATGTCCAAAGGCAGTACTTTTCTTATGCAGAGATGGTTAAGATTACTGCATATTTTTGTGGGAAGAGTGAGGGCTGCTGTAATTTAGTAATAAAACTGAATTTATGAAGTAACAAGAAATGCATAGGCTCTCATGACTTGTGTAGATAAGGTTAGAACTCTTTGGTTTTTTTTCTCTGAGTTTCTTTGGATAAACATTGCATAGGGTGTTTTGGTTTTTTTAAATACAATATGTTTAAGACATATAACATCTAGAAGTTTTTTTGTTTTGTTTTCTGCCTCAAAATTGTAATAAGCTATGCTACAGACTTTCAGAATTTATGTTCAGAGAGGCACTGAAGAATACTAAAATAATGTTTGAGAGCTTATAATTCTGAAGCTTCAAATTTGCTTTCTCCTACTGTAACATAGCTTCTACATGCTCAGTATCAGAAGCAGAAAAAGATGAAAGAAATCCCTTTCAACTTCCTCTACCTTACAACAAAGCAAAGTTCTAAGGGAAAATTTATGATGAATACAGATGACTAGAAGACAGCTACATAGCTTTAGAAATAGTACCTATATTCAAAAATGCAAATTTAAAAGTTAGAAAAAAGATGCTAAAAATTTATCTACAATAGGTCAACAATTAAGAAAGAAAAAGATCTTGATATATTCATATTCATATTCTTGACATATTCTTGTTCAGTTACAGTTCCTATTAAGTTCCACCTAAAGAATTCTCTCAACTGATTTCCATTATACTTTCATTCTCTGGTGAATCAATATAAGGAGCATATTTGGTACTATTTTCACTGAAACATGATCCTAGTATGATCCCATGGAATAGTTCTGTTTGGGTCTGTCTTGATTGCAAGCAGTTCCTTTCTCTTACAGATAAATTATGGCATTTGGGAAGCATGTTTTGCATTGATCTCCTTCAGGCTATGGAATGCTATGCAGCAAACAGCAAATTCTGTATCTCAGTAGCCTCAGCATTGGCCTGATGGAGAGGACTCCAGCAAAATCCTATGCACTATTGGCTTATTTCCAGGCTATTAGGCAATACTCCAGCACAAAATATAGCCAGCTCCAGTTGCTGTAATTATCCTGGTGTGGCTAATTTTGAGCACAGGATTAGAGCTCTTGGTATTTAAGGAGTAGGATGAACAGAATTATCATATGTTTTGCAGATGTCAGTAGTGGATACCAGATGCATAATTATCAATAGGTTAGCTGCATTTAAGTGTAATATATAATCATTTAATTTTTCAGAGGTATTCAGATAGCTCAATATTATAAGTTATTCTCTAGAGCAATTCAAAGAGCAATTTGAATTATTCTCTAGAGCAATTCAAAGAGCAATTTGAATCTTTGAAGGGCAATCTTGCTCATTTCAATCTTGGCATTCAGACACATTATTCAGAAGCAGGTATAATATCATCTACAAATAATCCATACTAACCTTTTCATGTAAGTTCTTTATGGGTATTTGGGGCAATTGCTGGATCTTCCATGTATTACAGGGGAAAAAAATCACAAGAATGTTTGGAGCACTCTGTAATAGTTCTAATAGGGATATGATTTGCTGTATTTAATCCCTGATTAGATATCCTTTTAAGTCCTTCTTTATTTTGTTATGTGAAGATGTGCTTTGAAGATCTATAACTCAAAATCATAATGCTTCCTATTCCTGAAGCCGAATAAAAGCTTCACTACAAGAATTTTGAGTTTAAATGGACTCCGACAGATGGTAGAGGACAGGAAGGCCTGGATCAGCCACAACTTCGCAACTAACAACAACAATTTTGGCCATCCAAGATTCTTCATAGATGATCAGAAACTTATATTATGTGATTTGTGACTAATCAGTGACAAAATACAACAGTGCTGTCTTAATTTCTGATTCTTGTACTCCAAAGGTGCTCTTTTTTGAACTCTTAGAACTCTGTATAGGATCCAAATACAGGTAGTCCTCGCTTTATGATTGTCCTGTTTGGTGACTGTTCAAAGGTACTCGGCTACTAAAAAAGTTATTTTACAACTGGTCCTCACATTTTCATTACGTGCCATGTCCCCATGTTCATGCAATTAAGATTTGGGTGCTACTCAACCAGCAGGCATTTGCAACCATTGCTCTTTCCAATGGGCATGTGATTATCATTTTGCAGCTGACAGCCAGCTTCTGGTAAGCAAGGTCAGTGGACAAGGTGGCAGTAAAATCAAAAGTCCCAGTCATCTGATGTCATATGTTTTTGTTTGCTTGTATTAATTTGTATCCCACCTTTATTATTTTTTAAAAATAACTCAAGGTGGCAAACTTCTCCTCAGATTCTCCCCACAATAACAACCAGGTGAGGTGGTTCAAGCAGCGACTGATCCAAAGTTACCAAGCTGGCTATCATGGCTAAGATGGGACGGGAAGTCACAGTTTCCTACTTTCTAGCCTGGTGCCTTAACCACTAGATCAAACTGGCTTTTGCTTAAACAGCTGCTGGTGATTCCATGGTCATTAAATTCACTAAAGTCGTGTAATGTCTCACTTAACAACCACATTACTTAGCAACAGCATTGCCAGTCCAAATTGTAATCCTTAAATGAGGACTACTGTATGTCACGGTAACATAGAATAAATTTTTAGCATTAATGAGAGGATAAATTAAACTTTCTTTAGAAGTCTCAGATGATCTACAGAGCACATTTGAAATTGTTGAAATGTCACTTCTTAAAATTCATTTAATTCTTATGGTTTTAAGACCCCGCAAGAAATAATTTTCCTGTACGAAAAATTATATTTTCTCTCCTTGAGTAAAAACTATTGTCATTAGAACATGTCACTCTAATTCATCTCTTTTGAGTCCCTATAAATCTTGCCAGCAAGGAGGGGATGTGGTATGTGATAAGCCTGAAATGTGTCCGCATCTTGATGGACTTGTGGTAGAACAGAATATTGATACAAGCAGAGAACTGCAGGTACTGTTCAATGAGCAACAAGTGCATCCGTAGGAAAGTGTGCAAGGGTTATTAAGATTACAAAATGCTTAAACAAAGATATATTTGAGGAAATGAGGTGAACAGGAAATATGAGTGGTCATAATGGGAAGCCTAATTTAAGGCAAAGGCATTTCCTTTGAGATGGACTATATTAAGCATAGACCATAGATCTCTTGGGTTTGTACATAATTCACCAGTACTTTTATAGTAATTGTTCATGATATTTCATAATTTTAATCTTTCCATCAAAGTCAGAACCCCCATAGCCAACAAATGATTAGTTTCACTAACTGGAAAAAAAACTGTTCACTTAAACTAAGAGATAATGTCAAGTCCATCATTATCCATGATGCAGCTATGCAAATCAGGCTATGCACTCAACATTCACCAGACAAAAGTAATAAATTTTCCACCCTGCTGCTTACTCTCTACTTGTAGAGTATTTTTATAAATATGGCAGACCCTTATTGATTTTTATTGTTCTGAGACCTGCATCGTTAATCTTCTGTGCTCAATCATTTAAAAAAAAATACCCAATTTCAGTAGAAATGCTTCTGCAAGTGAGAATAATCTGTCTCCTTTGTATTATCAACCTTGCATTTCGTATTACATAAACTATAAATGTACTGAGGTTACTGTGCCTTTTTAATTGCACATTTACAACTACGTTAAAAATCATTTTTTGCTGGATGTTCTTACCCCAAAATATATACAGTATTTAAATTTCTCCGTACAACAACTTGTCCACTTTTGCTTTTATTGTTTCCGTCTTCACTCCCTTGAGATGCCTGAAATCTATTAGCGAAGAAAAGGAGCCAAAGATAGGATTCCTACTTGCACTAGAAAAGGTCTTTTTTGTGGCAATATGAGCTTTTGGGGGGTGGAAAGGTTAACATGAGGTTATTTTATGACCACTGCAGGAGAAGATAATTTCCCTCTTTCTGTGTCCTGCAGTTCCAGTGAAATCTCTGCCTTGTTGCATTCCCTTCACTGGGCTTCCTATTGATGCACCAAGAGATATTTCTATTCTGACGTTCAGGAAATTTTTAATATAGTAAGAAGAGATCAGTTCTAACAACCAAAGGTATATTTCCCAGTCTATCCTCATCCCCTTCTAGCCTTCTTGCACTCTCATCTCTGTGGTTTTTTTTTTCTTTTTTTCTATCTTGCAGACTGGATCGGCTAAGGAGTCCGAATCAACTAAAGTCCCATCCCAGCGACCACCTCCTCAAGGTTGTTTACAATACATTCTCGACTGTAATGGCATTGCAGTAGGACCAAAACAAGTCCAGGCGACTTAAATTTTTGAAATTTAAAACAGGGGTTAAAGCCAAACGAAAGAAAGAAATCAACAATACCAATTGTTTGTGCAAGTTTTTTTTTCATTGTTTCACTGCTGACCTGGATTGTGTTTTTTCTATGCAGTGTCAAATATATTGTCTGGTTGTTTATCTGTTTGTGTTGTAATGCTTACTTATGTTTTTCTGTATAACTTGTGATTCAGGGCTGTTGTCCACAGTGTACAGTGTACAAGAATTGTGCCTCTACTAAGTCAGTGAGACTGTATATTATGGATGGTTAGACAGTATTTTTGAAGTATTCTATATTGTGGGTAAAAAAAAAAAAGGCTAACCAACCCTGGCTGAGATATAATACTTTTGCTTAACTCTGTGAGTATGTATGCTACATCTGATTTTGGAATTTTTTTATGTGCATGAATATTGAAAAATGATTATAATATTTGAAAAGCCTCATTTAGTAATATGTTAAATGAGGCATTTTCTTTTTATAATTTTATAAAGATTGCTTAATTTTGAGTTAAGACATATACATAAATTGAAAAAAACTAGTATTTTTATTTTAATTTTTACATACAAAATATAAAAGAATTATTTCCAGGAATGCATAAATATCTTCTATTTTCAGTGCAGAGTTTTTAGGGAAAAATCTGTATCTACTAGCTTCAGTGCTACAAAAATGGGCCACATATGTGCAATATTGATTCAAATTTGATATTGAATGTATTTAAGTTCAATAGAGGAGTTTCTTCGTTGGTTATGAAGTAGCCATCTGGTTTTTACCAAACTAAAAAAAATGTTTACTAGAATTACCTTATCTACATAATTCAGGTAAGCGATGGTTCTTTAGCTATGATAGTTAGCAAAAAAGAAAAGCCTTCTGCAATTAATCAGCACCTTTCTTTCTAAATATTATGCTATCTACCCTTTTCAGGGTTTTTTTTAAATGTCATTCATCAACTCGATGTGTTGCTATATCATTCTGTACTTATGATTATGGCCAAGCTATTAGGATACACTAAAATGCACCTATGATCCAATCTAGCATTTTAAGCTTAAATAGCTAAGTACAGTAGGAAAAGAATGTTAGTGGATCTTGAATGCCCATAAGAGTGAAAAGCTTAGCCATAGAATGTAGTATATGGGACTCAAGTGTGTGTAAATAATAAAACAAGGATACCTGACCCAGGTGGGGAGGGGTGTACTTTTGCTAAACTTTCTTATAGCCATAATTGCTTATGACTGTCACGACACCAGGGGCTGTGTGCATAACCTTACAAGCAATATCCAGGCGGCCAGTTAAGCTGTTATTCAAATGCACCTCTTAAGCATTCTGTAGAAGTGAGGGAATGAATTATGTTGTCAATTGAAGACAAATAATAAGGTCAATAGAAATCCCTAGATTAATACAAACAAGTATGTTTTCTTTTGACATAATGATGATGTCTGATTTTTTTTCCTTTGCAAACACTCTAGAATTGCAAATATTTTTTAAATTCAAGATGTGAGAATTACACATTGTTTTTAATGGTAGTTTTGATGTTTACTGCGCATGCTGTTGTTCCCTGCTCATTTTTAGTCTATGAACAAGTATATTCTGTTTGTGTGACCTTTGTTTCTGATAATGATCTTTTGATAACCACACTGAGGGGATTGGTTATAGGGGAGTGTATTACCTTCACATCAGGTTCATTGTCTTCCTCACCTCCAGATCTTAATCCAAGAGAATAAAAACAGCATTCCATTCTGGAGTGGGGAAAAAATGAATCTGCCAACTGAATGCCATTAATATCAAGCCATGGATGTTCTTTTGCATGTGGTAGTTTGAGTAATTAAAGATGCTTTTGTGCATTGTTTATGGGCTCTCTCTGTGTGTATGAAGTGTGTATGTGTACTGACCACAGATAAAAGATTTGCATCTTAGCAAAACGTCAGTGCATTTGATGCAGATGGTCGTAAGAAGGACATGCACTAGTTTACTGGCTCAACAGTAAAGAAGCAAGCCAATATGTTTACCTGCATGCTAGCATGCTCAAGTGCAATATTGTGTGGAGTTGGGAAATGGTATTTTAAAATGTAGGATCAATGTCTGGGGTGGGGGATGATTTGCTTTATTTTTCCTTTTTTAATTTCTTTCTGTCAAAGCTGCTATTATTATTATTATTATTATTATTATTATTATTATTATTATTATTATTACCTTTTTGTACCAAACTAATGCAAGAAAGCGAGCAAATGCTGAAGTGTGACTGCAGTATATATTTTGTGAAATACTTTGTACAGCTTAATGTCCAATAAAAAAAGTTACATCTGTCTTCAGTGTAGTTTCTAGCACACGATTTTCCCAAGGGGGCAAAATCCTTTTATATACAGCAAAGAATAAGCAAGAAAAGTATGGGCTTTTTACCATAAAATATGCAATTGAAATTCACAATCTCTCAATCAGCTATAATTAAATCGCAAGGCTTCTGACAATCTTTAGATACTGTAAACACATGGATCCTGTTCACAGGGCATGCAGTTAATATTATGATGGGCTGGGATCACTTCTGCATCTACCTGTGACTTGCATAAATTCAGTGAAGGTTATGAACAGACATTTATGTATATAGCTTTTGGCAGGTTCTCAGGTCACACATACTTCTATTCATAAAAACAGTAAATTAGGAATAGATGTAATTCTTCTTCTGCACATTTTGCTATTGCAAATACAACTAACTGTGGTGTTTTAGGAAATGCACCAAGAATGAATTGTTGTCAAATTTCTAACATGTGGAAAATTATCTAAAAACCTATTTTGTTATTATCAAGACTGTAAATATCATTAGAACTTTCTTGAAATAAGTCCATTTATGCATCCAGGGTTTGAAAGAGAAAATACAAATTCTCACACAGCAATTTACTTTAAAATTTGATTTTCTGTACTTGGTATTTTTAAATGGTCATTGTTGAAAGTATGGTATCAATTCTGCTTCATCTGCATAATCCTGCCTCATTGATTCTCTTAATTAGCTAAATAGGCCTATTGGTTATATTTGGCTTTAATTCAGAGACATTGGGGTTTTGGACAGATTGGCATGATCAAGAAAAAGAATTTGCAAGGCCTCCAAATTATTCCTAGGCCTAGTTAAAAGTACATATACAGTTTCCCTGCTATTAACAAAGGCGTAAAGTTCTGAAGGAGTGTTTTGGGGGTGTATTTTTCAATCTAGAAAGTATCATCCTTGAGTGATGATGCAAAAACATTCTAACGGACTGATAAATCAGCTGAGTTGATTTCACAAATCAAAGTGTGTGTGACATATACCCACTTTGTACAAAGAGGGAAAACATGTTTTATATATATTAATGTCTGTGATATGCAAAAATAATAACCTTTTCCTATCCAGAGTATTGTGTGCGTTCTGCAGCATGCATGGACTTTTTTCCATGAATGTGCCTAGCCATCACTTCATTAAAGATGTTGGTTCTTGGCTTGCATCTCTCTGGATGCCCAGACCTCTATCCTCTGAGCTAAATGGAGAAGAGACCATTTAGAGATCTCTAAGAAGCTTTGTCTAAGGCCTGGGAGAATGTTTTCAGATGATAACACAGATTTGATTTTTTAATGTGGTGGGGAAGTCTTCAAGAAAAACAATTGTAAACCGTTTGGACTCACATAATTCATTTCAAGAGATTGGGGGTAAAATATTTGGGCTAAAAAAACACTGTGATGGCTATGCTGGTATAGTAGTGTCTTCTTGTGCAATTCTGAAGGAAGTTATCCAAAGGAAGCATTTGTTGGAACAATACATTTTAAGATCAAACATCAAAGATCCTTCAATCTCCAGAAAGACTCCATAAGTCCCGATCCAAGTTGACTGCCTTAAATTGGATGTGTATTTGACAGTAGTGAAATCTATTGTCTTCACTATTTATAGAAGCAGAACAACCATACACTAAGGAAAAGCGGGGTGGGTTGGGGGGAGGTTTGCACTGGGAAAAAACCTGCACCAACTGCAGCTGAATCTACAACTCAATTTTGATTAGCTATTGCTTACAAAATATAGAAGTGCTTTAGGGTTGATGTTGCAAGGTCTGAGTATGTTAATTGCTTAGTGGTTGGCTCAAGTAGATGCCTGTTTTGTTTCTCACAGAAGGGCTTATTGAGAAGCCACTGAAAATATACGAGACATTTTAAAAACATAACAACCCTCCCCTCCCATTTAAGGCAAAACAAAAAGGCAACTAATTTGAATCAATATTATTAATAAACAACAGCGTTGTGATATATTCAAAGCAAAGAGATTCCTTCTGGCTGTTAACTTCCATTGTGTTCGGTCTGTAATGGAGCAATCTGGGAAAATGTTTTACTTATCAGGAACCTGAGAACTGAAATGGAGAAATACTATAATTAATGCAGCTTAATCTGGCTCAGCCTTACCCAACCTGATATCTTCCAGGTGCTTTAGACTTCAAGTCCCATCATTCCTCTCAACATGATAGGTTCCCTAGGGGTGATGGGAATGATAGTTTAGTACATCTGTCTGAATTAGCTTGAGTGTGTAAATTTTGCTATCAGCCGTAAAGATTTCTGCTGTCACATCCAGCACTAAGGAGGCTTAAGCTATCCCTCTCCGACAAAATAATTATTACAGGTAATCCTCATTTAGCTACTTCTTGTTTAACAACCATTTGCAGTTACAACAATGATTGAAAAGTAACTTTGCAACCAATCTTTGCATTTATGGCCTTTCCAGATTTGTAAAGCAAAGGAAAACTGAAATAAACTCTTAAGCACAGTTAAGGTTTCACTTAGGAATTGCTTTGCTTAATTATTGAATTCTGGTCCCAATTGTAGTTGCTAAAGGAGGACTATCTGTATTTTGCTGATTTTCCTAAAAAGAACAAAAAACAAAACTCAGGTCCAATTACTAAAGCAGTGAATTTTCAAAGGCTGTTTTAGTGTGGATATGAAAGTTGCAATTTATATTTATGTAGAGTTGTAATTCATGAACATGATAGCTAAGGCATTCTAACCCCACAAAACGTTTCTAGTACCAAATTGATAAGTGTTAGTTGTAAGAGTTATTACAAAATGACTGATGCATTATGAAGTTTTTCTTGTGCTGAACCTAGGGGGCCCAGTGCAACCCCAAGGAATGCAATCACAAAGCCAGGAGCCACCCCAAGGGTTCCCACCGGGGCATTCAGGAAAGTCCTCCAGTTCTCTGCCTCCACGTCCACCTGGCCCTGCGATTCAGCCATCACGTTCCCAGGCCTCAGGTCCTTCAAGTGCTGGGCCTCCAGCAGACATGAAGACTGAGCCCTCACCAGACTCATCCCAGAAGCCTCAGTCACATCCTCAGCTAAAGTAAGGCATTCTTGTCATTTTCTCCTCTTGTTTTGAAAATGCTTCTCTTGCCAAAAGTGGTTGGAGTGCAGATAAAGAAGTACAAAATTCCTTTCTTTTTATAACAGTTTTGTTTCTGTTTTACCTGGAGTGGGTATATTTCCAGCAGACACTTCCAATCTCATGTAGTGCGTATAGATTTGAGTTTGTGTCATCCCCATTTTCTTTCTAGCATCTTTGAAGGTGTTGATTCATCTTTGGTTGTGCTGTTTATGAGACAGCTGGTAAGAAAGAAAGAGAGACAAAGAGAGAGAGAAAAACCTTATCTGCTTAAACTTTTAACCTTTCAGTCACTCAGACAAGAAAGATTGGAAAACCCAGATAATGTTTTCCTTGTCAAAAAATATTTCCCATTAAAACTAGAGATAGAACATTTGTTCACTAACTATCTGTTACATTCTATGCTTAAGAGTTCTTCTTTTAGGCAGTGGAACTCATTTTCATATACTTGATTAGGTATAACATATTCTTATCTGTATCTTTGATTTTAATTTTTGTCAAATTGATCCTATTAAAGTATGGTTGAAGATGGCCACTTACTTACTCTATATATCCTCTTGGTGTTTTGGAAACTACTTTGAAGATTAATGTACTGCATTCCATGTTCTGTTTCACATATTCAAATTCAAATATTCAAATACCCAAGGTATATTGCTTAACAATTTAGAGATAGAAAGATTTCCTGCTGCCTTCATTATCAAAATGCATGACAGTAACAAAGAATGGTAAATGCCAGGATACTTTGTTTGCCAAAATTTTGTCTAATAGTTTACAGACTTAATCTTCAAAATAATGCTTACATAATTCTCTTTTGCTGTGAAGGTGAAATAAGGTAATCACAAAAAAGTTTTTATAAACAAACCACAGGGCAGACAATATGATAAATCAATAAATGGCCTTAAATGCATTATATTTAGTTATGCATGTAAAAGAAAACTTCAGTTCACTACTTATTTTTATTATTTCTACCATATACTTTTCCCAGAAGAGGTAAAAATTCAAAACGTATTTAATTCAAAACAAACTAAATTGATCAGTGTGGGGTAGTGGTGAAGGTTTTGAATTAGAAGTGGGAAGGCTTGGTTTCAAATCTACCTTCAGCCACAGCAGCTCACTTTAGGCCAGTCGTTGTTGCTCAACCCAACCTACCTCAATTAGAAAGAGGGAGCCTAATGTATAGTGCCTTACATTTGTGTACAGGTGGTATATGAATATAGTAAATAAATAAACTAGAAAATATCAAGATATATTTTTCCCTAATGTAGGTTTCCATCTCTAATTGTTTTTTTTTTAATGCAACAGATATTTAAGGTTAACATTTCTCTCCCTGTTAATGACTGGAGTCAAAATGGCTAAACATGTTCTGTTTTAGAGATTTGTGAAAAGAGCACTTTTCTTGTGTTCTTATCATCTCAGGAGCTTGTAGACTGCACCCCATTTCACTACACACAGTTTTAGAGGTCTGTTGAAAAATAGCACTGACCAGAAAATTGCAATAAATATAAGTTTAAGTGTGTTTCAATAAACCCATCTTCTCCTTCATGGTGTTTCAGATATCTTAAATTTCAAAGGCAATTCATTTGTGCAATGTTTTTCGGACATCCCTAATATTTTGTTTTCTTCTTACTTTATTCTTCTTATACTTCTTACATTAAGAAGTATAAGAAGATAGAAGTATAAGAAGTATAATTGGCTGATTGAAAAAAGACTTTTAGCAAGAGTGAATCTAGTTACTAGTTAGATAGGTGATCAGAAAAATCTTTCAAGCCCATGGACCAGAGCAGGATCTTGAAAAAAGTATTTTGGAAGAATTTAATGATGAATCACTTTCCATGTCGCTGGTTAGAAAACAACACGGAAACCTGTATGTAGTCACCTGCAGTTGAGCTCAGCTTAAGGGAGATTTTGCCTTTTATTCAAATTTAAACTCCCCCCTCCCAATTCACTGCTTATACCAGTCCTAAACATTTTTTTTCAAGCTTGCAAATACTTAAAGGCTATTCCTTAATATTTGAAAGTTCTATGCACATAGTTTTAAAGCATGCTGGATGGCTCATATCTCAAGTTACAAATTTGCTCCAATCCACATTTCAATTCCCCCCCCCCCAACTTCCAAATCTTACGAAGAAAAAAAAAAGCATAACCAAATTGCCAATAAGATTAACTGTACTCAGTGATTGCAATCTCACCCACATCTTCTGGCTTAACATGTGCATGCAGGTTGCTAGCCTATACGTAAATATTTCACTAAGCCATTTATGTTTCAGTTCCTAATCAAGGTAAAGAACTTTTATCTTTCCACCCCTCCCTTCTCAATGACTATTAAACCCAAATACAGTGAAAACGAAAGACTGTACACACTTACAATATTGCTCGCTCTGGTTTTCTGGAAAAGGGGGTAAGATTTTTCTGGGAAAAAATGATTTATTTGTCATTAAGCACAAGCAAATACAATTTTCCTTTTCTTTAAGTATACTTAAAATTTATAGGGTTAAAAATGAATAATATTTTTTACCATTCAACAATTTGTTTCCTTCCATTCAGCCCATTCCAACTTCCCAGTCTTTATTTATTCTCAATTCAATGGATATAGCTGCCCATTGACTATAGGCAGCTAACAGGGAATAACATCAATATCAAAACTTCATAAGAAAACAGTAAATAACAATTACGAAAGCCAAGATGAAGCCAAGCAACACAATCAATGCAACCACGATACAAGCTTAATCGCTTATCTCTCAGGCTCTGCAACAGAACCAGGTTTTAGTGCCTTACAGAAAGACAATGGTTTGGGGCAGGTCCAATCTCCAGTGGGCGGCATTACAGAAAAGGCTGTCCACCAGGAATGGAGGCACTTCTGAGTTTTGATGTGTGTCAGACAATTGTTTCTCAAGTCAAAACTAACAGTTGTGCTCACCTATTCAAAGAATGTCATCTGGATGTTGCCAGTTGTATCTCCTATTCATATTATATGTAATACCAGTTGAATTTTAAAAGGTAGGGGGCTACATAAGTCACGAATAAGAAAAGAAAATCTGTATGCAAGTTTCAAGTGTATGTAACATTCATGTGTGAGTTTTTGTCTCTGTCTTGCAGCAAATCACAATCTCTGACAAATGCCTTCAACTTCACGGAGTCATCCTTCTTCCGATCATCTGTGAATGAGGATGAAGCAAAAGCTGAAACCATCCGAAACTTAAGAAAATCTTTTGCCAGCCTGTTTTCAGATTAACCATGGCTAGTTTGGTTTTGCATCTCCATCAAATGTTCGAAAGTCTCCTTTGAATATCATTTCACAAACACTATTTCTTTATGAATGATCCTTCTTTGCTGTTTCAATTGTTGTATTAAGCAATATGTTATGTTCTTTTTTCAAAAGGGGACGATAATGCGTTAACACTTCAGGTATCTTTAAAAAAAAAGCCACTTTAAAAAAAAAGCCAAGAAGAAAAGCTCTGCAGCCGAATGCTTACAATCCTTCTTAACTGTGATTTTGTGGCCTTACAGTTAAATGCACTCAATCATCCCATTGGGCACTCTGTTGTGATGTCTTTAGAGCAGCACACCATTAAGTTGCAAGTCTTCCCTTTCTCACAGTTTTCTCTAGTACTGAGTTGCATGTTTATTTCTTCAAGATATTTTCTTCTGCAAAGCTACGTTTTTGAGACTTAGTTTCTTGCCCTCAGATCTTTAGGGTATAGTTTCATAATTGTATTCATGTTAATTGTCTTTCACCTTGTTAGAAACTTTAGAAAACTTTCCATCCGCTAAATGTAGTTTTCCTGTATACTTTAAGAGCAAATTCTAGAATGACCCAATGTTAGAGCCTTATGTGTGTCTATATATGATTCTATTCTCTTACTCCTCATATATTTGTTGTGAAATTATTTGCAGCCTGTTAATAGTGCCTTTTGCTTTGTAAAATGTCATGCATGGCCTCATGTCACCATAGTTCCATATTACATCCCAATAAATGCAAAGCTCTATACCTAACAGGAAATCTGCCTCTCCTGACTTCTCTGCAGTGTGGTAATGATAGCAGAGGGAGATCTGAAGCTGTATTTTTCTCTTAGAATTTATTAAAGTCATAGACCAGAGACCAGAACAAATAAAAACACTATCAATATACAATTAAAAATTATAGAATAAAATAATAAATTAAAAATTATAGAATAAAATAATAAATAACAGATAAAATCTATGATAAAATCCGGTCTGTCAATTATACATGGCCTAACTATACTAAAATCACCACCCATAAACTGTGTGGCCCATAGTTAGTTTATTACTAAAAGGGAAAGGAAAAAGCAGTGCTTTTTGTCCTTTATTTTACTTTCAGTCAAAATGCGTTACCAATAAACAAGGAAGAATAATATCTCAGAAATACAATTTTAAAGAAATCAATCCCTTCATTGACACACTTATTCTGATAACATGTGCCTATGAATCTTGGCTTCTCTACAGAAAGAGGTATCTTATGGAATAATTTATAGAATGCCAGATCCACTCAGTGCCAAGTTGTATTTTGAAGAACCATACTCACATTTCCTAATTTTATCTTCACTCATGGGAGATAGGCTATCTTTTCCTTTCCTGTGAAACTAATCCTGAACATTACTATGTCTGATCTTTATGCTCTGCTATCCAGGAAAAAATATTTTTATCTGATGTTGAAAACATAAATATTACACATGCATAATAGCTATTAGTACAGTTATAGATGATGTTTGTGCCTCATTGAGCCAAATGCAACCCATTCATCATTTATCCTACAGTGGCAATCTATAATTTGTACTTTTAAGTCAAAGGTACATCTGTAGCTTTATCAAACTACATTGAGGACTCAAACTTGGGTGGGAAACTCTTCTGTAGCACATTTAGCCTTAGAGTTAAGATATGCTTGCCTTTCTTCAAGGCCACATAGTCGGCAACCAGTCCAAAGAATGGTCTTGAAATTCCAAGGCCGAAGGACTGCCTGTGTTGAAGAAGATGGGGAATGATGGCTTCCTTCTCCAGCATGTTCTTTTCTCCATTGCAAAGTAAAAAGGAGTTGGTTATGATTCCTCATTTATTCATTCATTATTTACAAATTGACCTGAATCTTAAGATATGATACAGCCAATGTAAAAGACGGAGAATGGAATGCAGAATGAGTTGCTGTCCACAAATATTGAATGAATAGCTGAAACTTCACTTGGCAGCCAAATGACCTCAGCACCCTGCAATTCCCTCTCCTCTCGCCTTTGAGCCAAGCCGAAAGCACACAGTAGATCTGAATGTTGCCATATATTGAAAATCTCAACTATTTGATCTTTGAACATTATCACTGAGCCACCATCAGATATTTATTGATACACTTACCAGGTTTTTTTAAAAAAAAATTAGATTCTTGACATCAATCTAGCTGTTCCATTTCCGCATTAGATCAGGCTCCTTAATATTTTCAAGGATAGTTCCCCACACACAGTGTGTTACAGTAATTTAATTTGGATATTGCTATTCCAGTGCCCTTTGTGATAGTATTTGTTTATTCGGGTAAGCATATGTAAGAAAACATATGTGATTCGGGGCTGAACTGAAGTCTTTGGTGCTTTCTGAGCTTGATTGTTTGCATGCAGACATTTTATTACTCGGCCAGGTAATATCATCAATGAGTATCGGGTGTTTTTCTTATATACATATGTAGCAATCTCTATGATATTGGATATTCCATACTACTCCATAACATTCCATTGCCCAAATGTATAATAATCTCCATGGCACTCAAGGCAACCAGTATAAAAATGCAAAGTACTATAAAACTACAAAAATTCAATGTAAGCCTACATGATCAAGACATAAAATCACAACAAACCTGACTGAAAAGTTAGATCTAGACCATTTTCACACACAAGAGATCACCAATCTGAGACGGGCACTGCCCTTATATGTCTCCAAAATATGTAGAAAAGCTGAACAGATTTATTCTGCAAGTTAATCAGCTTGGTAATTAAGAGGAAACAATGTAGTAAATGTTTCACAACTCTTGTTCTGGAGCTTTAGGGTGGACTGATTTTCTTTTGATAGGAAATCTTATCCTATCTCTGAGTCTTACCTATTCTGTAGAGACAAGGCATCACAATATGTTGGCTTGTTCCCATATTCTTCCCTATTAAACTAAGGGTTGGTTTTGCTGCTCCCTGCAGATAACATCTGGCTTTCTTGATATACACACTGCCATTGTGAACACCTTGAAAACTCACGAAGAATTATTTGAACATTCATCCATTGGCTGGCTGGAAGTAATATTAAAGAAAGCAATGATTGCTCAGGTAGACTTGCAGAAGCTGACATGGGAGCATGAGAACATGCTATTAATTTAGACGGTAAAACTAGTGGTGAGAGTTAAGTAAAACTAAGAGAATGTGCTTTCTAACTTGGGTGTAAAGCAGAGGAAGATTCTCTCCCATATATATGTTTGACATTACTAGACTGCTGAAATTGAAATCATTTTTAGGAGGACCTTCTGGCAGACAGACTAACCCATATTAAGTCAGGGATGTTTAAGCCATTTATAGCTTAATTAAAACCTAAGCTATTCAAAATTTAAAAGTTACAATTAATATTTTAATTGCACACATAAAATATTTGGGATCCATTGCAGAGTTCCTAAACTAAATATATACCCAAACAGTGTACTGATTAATAGCTTTGCTTGTTATATTTCCACCAACCAATGCTTCTAAATACACTTCAAGTGTCCAA